TGAGAGAGAGGATCAACAAAGTTCTATTGCTATTTCACGAGGAAATCCAATGCAAGTGAAGGGCCCACGACAATCACTGACCGCCCTGAATAATCGACCCGTTTACCAAGCAGAGTCTCGCGAACTCTTCCTTCTTTGCCTTCAATTACATCTGAAAGCGACTTGTAAACTCTATTATGATCATCCCTCATTGGTTGTCCGAAAGAGCGGGCTATCTTCCCCAAAAAAAGGATTCTATTTTTGCGTCTTAAATGAAATCAACGGGCTATAATCGACGGTATTCTATGAGATTCGAGAGTATGGTAAGTAAGAAATAAATTTATTTCTTACCATACTCTCTATTAGTGTTATTGTAGTGTATAAAGTTGTACTTGACTTTCTAATAAAGTTGGTACTATATTAAATAAAGCATGGAAAGATAATCTACTTTCATTAAGTGATTTATTAGATAATCGAAAACAGAAAATCTTGAATACTATTAGAAATTCAGAATTGCGGGAGGGGGCCATCAAACAGCTGGAAAAATCCCGGGCTCTTTTACGGAAAGTAGAAATAGAAGCAGATCATTTTCGCGTGAATGGATACTCTGAAATAGAGCGAGAAAAATTGAATTTGATTGATTCAACTTATAAGACTTTGGAACAACTAGAAAATTACAAAAATGAAACTATAAATTTTGAACAACAAAAGGCAAGTAATCAAGTCCGACAACGGGTTCTACAACAAGCCTTACAAGGAGCTCTAGAAACTCTAAATAGTTGTTTAAATAACGAGTTACATTTACGTACTATCAGTGCCAATRTTGGCATATTGGGGGCGATGAAAGAAATAACGGATTAGTCCTTGTACTTTAGGCATTATTATTTATTTTGTTTTTCAAAAAATAATTAAGAAATACTCATGGTAATCATTCAAGCCGACAAAATTAGTAATATTATCCGTGAACGTATTGAGCAATATAATAGAGAAGTAAAGATTGTAAATACCGGTACCGTACYTCAAGTAGGTGATGGCATTGCTCGTATTCATGGTCTTGATGAAGTAATGGCGGGTGAATTAGTAGAATTTGAAGAGGGTACAATAGGCATTGCTCTTAATTTGGAATCAACTAATGTTGGTGTTGTATTAATAGGTGATGGTTTGCTGATACAAGAAGGGAATCCTGTAAAAGCAACAAGAAGAATTGCTCATATACCAGTAAGTGAGGCCTATTTGGGTCGTGTTATAAATGCTCTGGCTAAACCTATTGATGGTAGAGGTGAAATTTCATCTTCTGAATATAGGTTAATTGAATCGGCGGCTCCGGGGATTATTTCTCGACGTTCTGTATATGAGCCTCTTCAAACAGGGCTTATTGCTATTGATTCAATGATTCGATAGAACATGGTCAACGAGAATTAGTTACTGGGACAGACAGACCGGTAAAACAGCAGTAGCAGCAAATACAATTCTAAATCAACAAGGCCAGCGTTCATGTAGCTATTGGTCAAAAGCATCTTCTGTGGCTCAGATAGTGACTAATTTCCAGGAAAGGGGGGCGATGGAATATACTAGTATGGTAGCCGAAACGGTGGTTTCCTGTTTCCAGAGTGGGGTCTGCAGCTCAAATTAAAGCTATRAAACAAGTAGCCGGTAAATTAAAATTGGAACTGGCACAATTTGCAGAATTAGAAGCTTTTGCACAATTTGCTTCTGATCTTGATAAAGCTACTCAAAATCAATTGGCAAGAGGTCAACGCTTACGTGAATTGCGTAAACAATCCCAATCCGCCCCTCTCGCGGTGGAAGAACAGATACTGACTATTTATACCGGAACAAACGGTTATCTCGATTCATTAGAAATTGGACAGGTAAGGAAATTCCTTGTTGAGTTACATACTTACTTAAAAACCAATAAACCGCAGTTTCAAGAAATAATATCTTCTACCAAGACATTCACCGAGGAAGCAGAAGTCATTTTGAAATAAGCTATACAGGAACAGATGGAACGTTTTATACTTCAAGAACAAGCMGCCTAAACAAATTGATCACCCTTTTGAATAATTTTTTCAATAAAATAAAAAGRGTACTCAAGCGTTTTGGATTCAAATCATTCAAGATTTATTTTTTGATATCGAAATCTAAAATAATATCTGGAAAAAGAATTGCGTCCGATAGGATTTGAACATATACCAAAGGTTTAGAAGACCTCTGTCCTATCCATTAGACAATGGACGTTTTTTATTGTTATTTTTGAGTATTTTTTATTTTCTGATCATTTATTTCAAAAAAAAATATAATTATAATAAAAAATATAATTATAATTATTATAATTATAGTAGCATTTATGTAAGAATTTTTTTGAATTGTATATTCAATGATGAATGTTGTATTAATTATAGTGTATTAGAGTATTTAAGAATATATACATATGGTAAGATAATAGAATAAATATATAAGAGAGGATATAGAGCGGGTAGCGGGAATCGAACCCGCATCGTTAGCTTGGAAGGCTAGGGGTTATAGTCGATGTTGATTCATCATTTTTAACGTCTCTAATTCAAAATCGAACATGAAACTTTGGTTTCATTCAGCTCCTTTATGGAAAATGGATAGATTGTTAGATTTCAGATGTGAACCAACTTACAAAAAAAATTATACCGTCACGACTGACGGGGCTCGAACCCGCAACGTCCGCCTCGGGCAGTGCTCTTGCCTATTGAACTACAATCCCAAGGGGGGAATCACAATCCCAGGGGGGGGGGGGGGAATCAGGAGGGCTCTAGAAAAAAAAAATTTGATTCTTTTTTATTCTCTCGTATCATGTATTTCTTAAGAACAAGAGGGTTCTACCATCTAATGGTAGATTGGCGAATTGTTGGGCCGAGCTGGATTTGAACCAACATAGACATATTGTCAACGAATTTACAGTCCGTCCCCATAAACACTCGGGCATCAACCCAAAGCCTAATTGATTTTAGACGATTGAATATATCATTCTTATGGGTATGATTTACCCCCAGAGGGACTTGAACCCTCGTTGTCTCCATGAAAGAGAGAAATCGTTAAACCGCTGGACCATGGGGGCTAAGGGTCAGCATAAGGAAAACACAAAAAATCGGATAGGTGCAGAGGGGCGGCCTCTTTAGGAGTTGAATAGGATCAAACTGAAAGACTCGTTAACTATGATGGGGGTTAATGGTAATCAAACTTTTTCTTTAATCCTTAGTTGATGTGTAATGCAAGATAGCAACCCAACCCACATTTCTTATTAATTTGAATTGAATATTCATTTTCTTTTCATTCAAGAACAAGAATATAGCTAGAGACTCATGAATGACTTAAATCTTTGGGACGTTTTCATATCGTTGGAGATAGCAATTTTCGATGATATTTATAGTAACGTCAGTCTTAATCTAGTTTCGTTCAGATTTAGATTCTAAATCTTTGATTTTGACTTTTTTTCTTGTACATAAGTACAAAGAAGTTTCGGAAGAAATTGTATTAACTTTATTGTTTTATTG